TTCTTTTGACAGTCAATAATACAGAAGAATAATTTTCTAACTGATTAAGAAAGCAAAGGAGTCCTAGCCCTTGGCTCCATTTGGTTTACCCATATGGGAATATACAACATAAAAAGGTGAAAGAAATCCTAACAGAATGCAGCAGCTGGTTAAAGGCTATTATATTGAAATCTTCATGAGTTTGACAGTAGGCCAAAAAACTACAAAATGGCAGAGAGTGAAAAAGGCAGTTGTAACAGGTTGAGCATTGTTGGTGATTATTTTTTCAATGGCAATGAAAACTGTAATCAAATAACCTGAATGAGATGTTGGCAGAAATAAGAGAGCCCCAAGGGAGAGGGAATATGAAAACTGTAACAATGATGTATGCTATGGCCTAATAAACTAGACAAACATGTAGTTTAAAGTATCAAAATCAAGGTTCGAAACATCATATGAAAAGCCGGTTATCAGGATGCAAGCATAAACACTGTCTGATTTGCAATCTAGAGCAGAAGATGTTGTTAATGACTTACAACCTCACGAGTGAGCACACAACTCAACAACTAACTGGAACTGTGCAACTAGTATAGAAATTTCTTGTGATTTAGATGATCAGTTTAATCCAGCATGAAAAGGAAAACAATAGAAAGCACTAAAAATTATCCACAGAAGACACTGACTTTGAAGCTGGAAATGTGTGGTAAAAACTCTTGAATGTAAGTCCAGACACAAAATAAGAAAGTTAAAAAATGGGTACTGGCTGAAATAAGGCTATAAACTTATTATAAACTTATTGTTACTTGTGGACCAACAAGGAATCTCAAATTATGAATGGCTTTTGCCAGTGCATGAATCTACTGATCATTGTACATCAAAGTAATGTACTATAAGTAGAATACCTTAGACAACAGGAATGTAAATCACAAATGCTATTAATCTGTTCAATGTATATTTTCTGAACATGTGTTGTCCTTACATTATAGATTTAACATTTTAGAGGAATATTTGAGACATTATATAATCCTTTTAAAAAAATTAGAATTGTAGAGAAAATTGGTCTTCATAAAGTTCTGAGATATCTTTGAGAAATCATGTAATTCCTCACGCCAACGAACTGATCACCTCAGAGGATTTTAATGTCCTCATACTCAGCTTTCTATTGAATTTTTCTATCTATTGTTTTATGTATATTACCATTATCCTAGAGAGCATAATAGTTCTCAATTATACACCAAGATTTGAGCTCTTTAAATAGTTATCTGGAGAAATTGTAATGAGTTGAGAGGGCATCAACTCTAAGCTCATTAAACAGTGAAAAAATAGAATTCCTATATTTATTTAGACCAAATATTTGTGTTATGTTAATAATTAAAGTAAAGACTTTAAAAGTAAAAACAAACTTCTTGGGGAAAAAGCTAAAATTTAAGATTTTTAAATTTGGACAAGACCATAAAATGCCACTCATTGGTTCTTTGAGCTAAAAGGGATGTTTATTTTATAAATGAGAAACCAAGATTTGTATAGGTTAAATGATTTGTTCAAGGCCACAGAGTCAACTAATTACAGAGCCAGGACTAGAAATCAAGTTTTCTTTTTTCCAGATCTGTGCTCTTATCAATACCACTATCATGATCTTCAAGTTGGTAAACAGTACTAGACTATTATAGAGTAGCTGCTTTCTGATTCTACCAAGGAACAGCAAGCAATTAATATATGAGGGTCAGGGGGAGGGTTGAGGGGTATATAGCTTTTTGGGAATTTTTCTCCTTTTTATTTTTTGGTTTGAATTCATTTTTATTTCCTCACTACAAAGTACTGGGATCTTTTGTAGTAGGTGTAACATCAGGGAGGAGAAGATACATATTTAAGGAAAGGACAATGGGGACTGTGGTCGGGGGAAGGAACTCTAGGAATCTCCAGAAGATGATTTATTTATTTATTTATTTATTTATTTATTTATTTATTTATTTATTTATTGGTAAGCCTCACCTGAGGATATTTTTTCATTGATTTTTCAGAGAGAATGGAAGGGAATGGGAGAGACACAAAGAGAGAAAGACATCAATGTGAGAGAGACAAATTGACTGGTTGCCTCTTGCATGTGCTGCATGGGGTGGGGATCAAGCCGTGACCAAGGTACATACATGCCCTTGAATGGAATTAAATCCGGGACTCTTTAGTCTGCAAGCCAAAGCTCTATCCACTGAGCCAAACTGGCTAGGGCTCCAGGAGATCTTTAATGAGCCCCAAACTAGTAATGATTTGGAATGGCTTAAAGATGTCTTGGCTTTTCAGTTGGTACTAAAACCTTGGCCACAAGTTTTTATTTCAGCTCATAACGATTGGATAAAGTAAGAACTTTACTAGTAAATGGATTGAAGAAGTAGTAGTTCTTAAGTCTGAGTCAGAAAAAAAATTTGTCCTGACAAAGGCAATGATATAAAAGGTGATTGGGAAGAGTTTAATAAAATGGATTGAAAAAATATATAGTGTATGTAAAGCAATACAGTGCATGTCAATATAGTGTTTAATACAATAGGTGGTTTAAAATAGGTATTTAAAATACATAGAGTGACTAAATCATTAATTATATATAACAAAAATAGAATTTTAAAATAAGCAAATTAGAAAGTAGGATCAAAGCACAATAAAGAAGAATTTTTAAAGATAAGAGATACCTTGCCTGGAAAAATTTAATAAGAGAAACCTTTTCTAAAGGATGTGTCTTTCCTTAAAGAGTCAAAAGAGCCCCCTCATCCCCATTCTTCTTAGTTAACAAAACTGAGGCATAAAATCTAATTTCTTGAGAACTGTAGTAATGAAGATCTAGTAGTGTTGTTATTGTTTTAGAGCTGAATTATGAAGAATTGATGGGCAGAGGAAAAATAAATGGGCAGATTTGATAAAAGAAGGCAGGTTGAAAAAATGGAAAAACACTTAATATTTTTAGTCAGACTCATGGTAGAGGCAAATTCAAAGAATTTAATTGGTATCAAAGTCTATTTCATGAATATGATTAGTTTTAATTGTTGTTGAGATAGCTGATTCCAAGTTAAATTTAAGTTGCACTCACACTATTGATGAAACACCATTAATGTATCATAAAAACTCAACGTCCTTTCTCCCCTCCCTCTTTCATGTTGATCCAATGTATCATAATTTGTATTTCAGGCAGCATCCTGCTGAAGGTGCTTTTAAGCACCTGTACTTCTTTGACAGACACAGATGGCCCCAGGAAATGGTGTCATTCAGTTGTTGTTATGTGAAAAATGCTGAGTGCTGTATTTCCAGAATGAACAACTCAGCTCCACAAATCCAGGACTGTTGCTGGCTGCTTTTTGGGTTCATGAAGTATTTATTCACCTAAAACAGTTTGTGTACATATAGTTGCAGAAACCTTCAATCTCTGTCTGAAGAAGAAATGCAGGAAAACTCCTCAATAGATTAAATTGTTCTTGTAACTATTTACTTTCACTGTTATATATATATATATAAAAGGCTAATATGCTACAATTCTGACAGTTTGATTGGTCGTTATGACATACACTGACCACCAGGGGGCAGACGCTCAATGCAGGAGCTGCCGAGACACCCACTGGCCATTTGCAGAGAAATGACACCAGGGACCTGGCACTGACAAAGCAACACTCAACTTCCCCCAAATGGGACACAGGCCCTGCCACTACCCCAGAGTGACAGCCCACCAAATCATAGCTGATGCTGCTGAAACCCTATGGTGCAAAATGCAGCCCACAGGCACCAGGTAATGACATCACATAGCAATGCCTGGTTTCCTCTCCTTAGAGATAGACCACTTAACAATAAATGGCACTGCGGACCTAGTGCCCACAAAGCAACACTCGGCTTCCCCAAAGTGGGACACAGGCCCCACCACCACTCTGGAGTGACACCCCACCAAATTACAGCCGATGTTGCCCATGCCCCATGGTGCAAAATGTAGCCCATAGTACAGCCCAGCTCAGAAATGGTGGCTGTGGGCACCAGGTAATGTCACGTAGCAACGCCCAGCTTTCTCTCCCTAGCGATCAACCTCCTTGCAGTTTCTTCACCCCAGGAACATGACTTGTTTTATTGACAGGTGCAGACATTTTACACTTTAACCAAATGTCTGTGAAGCATTTTCTTATGTCTCATCTCATTTGATCCTCAGAAGTCCTAGAGTAGGTAGATAGGAGACTCAGTAGAATCCTATTTTCTTTTCATTAGCTGGAAAAGAGATTTAGAAAGCTTAGAAACTTGACCGGACTGAAAAGAAGTAAGAAATGGTGGACCTTGAAAATGACTTCCAAGTTTTCTCACTGTGCAGAATATAGTCAAACACTGCTGCCATTAAATATTTTACCCTTTGTTCTTCCTGCACGATCTACAATAATAATCTGCTTTGTGTTGATATTTACTGCTGTGTTGCTTACAATTACCGAAAGAGAAGTTGGGGTGCTTCACTGGGCTGGAAATAGTTTAGCTACATCAGAAAGCAGGTCTAATTAAGCAAGTTCATATATATATATATATATATATATATATATATATATATATATATATATATATATGTAACTCTTGCTGGCACAAATCACATGCGTGTGTTTTGATCTGCCATTGTTGATTTTGAGTTTGGTTGACACTTCTATTATAAAGAAAGGGTCAATAGCAATATTAGAATATTTTTTCTAATTAATTTCCTTTCAATGTGCATGAATTTGAGCACTGGGCCACTAGTAATATTATCAGCAACATTTTGTCCTATTGTGAAAAATCCACACCACCTCCAATCACAAAACACAACACACAGATTGCATCAAATGGATTTTTCTTAAAGGCAGCTCCCTATTGCAGCAGCAAATTTTCAGTGGTAATTTAAACATGAATTGATTATCTAAGCTTCCTTGAGGAAGAAAGAACTAGTTATTGTAGGCCAGGCTAAAGTCACGTTTTACAAATAAATTCATTTGTGATTATACAGATTAGCCACAATAGAGAATGTGATGCTTCTGACTTACTTGATATAGTAGGGCACTTTGTTTGGCGAGATGGCTCTCTCCCAGGGACCCTGGACAGAAGCTGAAAAAGGAAATAAAAAAAAGGCAAGGAGGTCAAGTTCACTGCAAACAGGAAAGATAACATTAATCTCCAGAATTACAATTTTACACTGATATTGGTCTGTTTGCTCAGTTGCCCATGAACACAGGATGGATCATCTGGCTGTTCTGAAGTTTCTGTCCTAATCTAAGTGAAATTGAAGTCATTCAGGCAAAAGATAAATGCAGAGAGAGAGAGAGAGAAAACCACACACCTATAGTACAGATAAGGAAGTGAATGAGTAAACAGATGGATTTTCTCCTATGCGTCTCCATTGGGTTCTTGTCTTATAATACTTCCTGTTGCTTCTCTGCTATCTTTTACTATGTGATTGACTGGGTTTTATTAGTTTAGCAGCTGAAAGTCCCTCTGTGATATATTTACATTCCAAGTTATTGAAGCTAAAATACTACACTTATCTATCACTCTGATGTGTTTGTCTTTCTCTTTATTTGGCTTTTACTGATTTCATTTAGTGATTATCTTTTTAATTGGAGCCTCAAAATGTCAGTTGACCAGCATGATCTTATTAGAAACGATAACAAAAAGTGAGAGAATGACATCTGATAATAGAATGTTATAAAAACCTTGTGATGAATGATGAATCCTATAGGTAAAATTAGATTTCATGTACGGGAAATTCACTTTATAATGACTTTATTGTGTATTAGTCAAATCAATCATCTTTAAACTGTGTTTTCAATGTTTAAATTATACTTTTTGTCTTTCACCAAGCTGAACTTTTATATACCATTTAATCTCTGTGTGTTTTCTTTAAGACAAACTAATCATGTTAGATGTACTATAACATTCTTCAAAAATAAAATCTTCCTCCTGAATAGAATTTTAAGAAACTGGGGTTTGGGAGACATACAATATCATCAAGACTAGATGAGAATAATAATCATTCTTATTAACATCTAGCAATTTTATGTGTATGCCGATTTTTTCCTGAATTTCCATCATGCTTATAATTTAAAGCACAGCTGACGCTGACCATTATTTCCTTTGATGAAAAGCTCCCTTCTAAATTAGTTTCATAGTAAATCCACTCCACAGTGTACTGAGATGTAACAAAACATCAAAGCTAATATATCCTTGACTATACTGTATAATATGAAAGAACAACTTCTGATATGTTAACTTCACCTACTGTCAGACAATTTAAGGGTAATGGAACTACAGATTCTTTACTTTATATTGAGTAATAGAAGGATCAAATCATCCAACCTTCAACCAGATATGCTGCTTTGTACCTTGGTGAAATGTCATTAAAAAGATACAGAGCATGATTTGTATTTATCTGCTAATTAGTCCTTTTCATTTCGGCAGACAGGTTTTTTATAAGGGGAAAAAGACATTAATCTGCTGTTTTGAAGTAGACCCTTGCCTTCAATCTCTCTCTGTGTCCTTTTTCTATTCTCCTCCTCTCTGTCTTTCTCATTCTCTTCCCCATTCTTGTCTGTTTTTCTTTTCTAGGTCTCAGCTCTCTTACCCAGATTAATTCATAGAGTAAATAAGACTAGGTTTGAGAATTTAAACTGGACTTGATGTACCTGGGCAGAGTCTGGTGTTATGGAAACCTAATAACCCAAGTCCTCTCTAGGAGGAAACATGGTAGAGAGGCAGAATCATAGCTCCAGATGCTCAGCATACCTTCTTCTTAAAAGGACAGCATCATAATGGTGATGGATGTTAACTAGACTTATTGTGGTTACCATTTTGCAATATACACAAATATCAAATCATTATGTTGGTCATTTGAAACTAATATAATGTTGTATGTCAAGTATATCTTAATACAAAAAAACTCCAAAAAGCAACAGCATCGTGAAAAGAAGAGAACTCCAGAGAATCTTTAGGTCAGCCATCACTGGAGGTATTACTAAGCCTATGCGTACCTAATCTGATCAAAAAGATCAGTTTTTCTTTTTTTTTTCTTTTTAAAAAAATATATTTTATTGATTTTTTTACAGAGAGGAAGGGAGAGAGATAGAGAGCTAGAAACGTCGATGAGAGAGAAACATCGACCAGCTGCCTCCTGCACACCCCCCACAGGGGATGTGCCTGCAACCAAGGCACATGCCCTTGACCGGAATCGAACCCGGGACCCTTCAGTCCGCAGACCGATGCTCTACCACTGAACCAAACCGGCTTCGGCCAGTTTTTCTTTTTAAAAAATATATTTTATTGATCTTTTACAGAGAGGAAGAGAGAGGGATAGAGAGTTAGAAACATCGATGAAAGAGAATCATCGATCAGCTGCCTCTTGCACACCCCCTACTGGGGATGTGCCCACAACCAAGGTACGTGCCCTTGACCGGAATCGAACCTGGGACCCTTCAGTCTGCAGGCTGACACTCTATCCACTGAGCCAAACCAGTTTCAGCAGTTATTCTTTTCTTAAAGGTCCATAATGGCTGGGCCCCACAATTGCTTTCATTATCCCTTTCCAGTTCTTATTATTCTGATAATCCAGAAAGTATAATTTCCAGTTCTGATAAAGAACTGATAATTTCAATTTATTTATTATTCTGATAATCCAGAAAGTATTTCTGACTCAAGAGATGTTGGGTATGTCCTCTGGCAGTATAAGAAAATCTAACAATAAAGCAGTGCTGCCCAGCTGAGCTAATGGCTAGACCTACATTGAGTATCTATAATTGACTTAGCATTATTAAACATTAAAAGCAAAAAACAAAACAAAACAAAAACAAACCCCAAAACTTCCCCTCTCCAAACAAACACCCTAGAGCAGTAATCAGAGCACTTGAACTAAATAGTTGAAAAGATTTTAAAAGATGTTCTAAAAAATTATAAGTTCCAGATCAATATGAATTTTTAAGCTTTTACAAATAGAGTTCATAATTGTTAAAATTTTATGAAGTATATAAATTATACATAAAAATGTTATGTTTTAAAAAGCTTTGCCTTTATGTGTTGCTATCAAATATACCCAACGGTGAGGCTCAGTGAACTTTTTGTGCTGAAAGATTTTTTTTTTTTTTTTTTTTTTTTGCTATTTGACTCACAGTTTATATATGTACCTAAGTAACTGCCTTGCAGTCATCATTTGAAACTTTAAAATTTTATACTAAAATTTCTCAATCCAAAAATAAATAAATAAACAATGGCCTTTCCCTATTCGTCCCTAGGCTCATCACCATCACAGACACACACCCCGGAACTGCTTGCTTTAGAAATACACAATCAAGAGGGTGGTTCCACGTGATTAGATTCAGTGCTCCTTCGCAAGAAATTATTAAGAGTTGTCAGGCAATTTTGCTTGGGGCAGCCAGATAATTCTAGTCTTGCCCATATTCAGAGTTGATCAAATATATGGTAACTCTCATAAGTGTGTCCCAGAATTATCATTTAATTTCTTGCAGGAGTGGCCACTCCAACAACAGCTGTTTCTTATCTCAGTGTGGCAGTGGAGGCTTGTCATCCTTCACAAAGGGAGCCTAGGTAATAGGCACATACATCCTTTGCCTGATGTGTCCATATTTAGTAGCCCATCAAAAGCAGACTTATTGGCAAATAGTTTTATGTGAGACTGTGCTATCCTTTCGTATTTTCTTATAGAGATATGTCTATAACCACTGCATGTAATTTGAATGTAGCTTTATGATTCTGATTCTTGAGTGTAAAAATCATTCATCCTTATAGGTCACCAGCACCATGGGGGTATTGTCTACCGGATTTAAATAGCAAACTGCACTGAGCTTATTTATTCTAAAACCAACCTCTGAGTTTCCCTCGTGCAGTTTGTTATTAAGAGCAAGAAAGGGTAGCAATTCTACCTTCAAATGCTTTTCTTCCCTTGAGGGGACAGGATCCAATATTGTGCCCAGTGTGTTTTTGAAAATCACAACTACAGGCCAGGCTTTGTTTAGAAGTTCTTATTTCAACCAGTTTTAATGCATGATGAACAGAATGTGCCAAACGATGCACCCTGGTGTTAAGCCATATTTTAATCGACACAGGGGCCTAACCAGAAAATTAAAAAGAATGCTAATGTTATTCAAACTGTGCCAAGACAGCACTCTATGGAATTCAGACCCACATACAGGCATTAATCTTTCTACTTTTCTTATATTTGGTGGGTTTGAAGTTTGATAACATAGTTGGGTCAAAAGAAGTGGAGGCAGATTATGAAAATAAAAAATATATCATTCATTGGACAAAAAATAGAAACCTCATCTATGGGGTTAAGAAAAAGGTGTTAGAGCCAAATCCGGTTTAGCTCAGTGGATAGAGCATTGGCCTGCGGACTGAAGGGTCTCAGGTTCAATTCCGGTCAAGGGCACGTACCTTGGTTGTGGGCACATCCCCAGTGGGAGGTGTGCAGGAAGCAGCTGATCAATGTTTCTCCCTCATCATTGTTTCTAACTCTCTATCTCCCTTCCTCTCTGTAAAAAATCAATAAAATATATTTTAAAAAAAAAGAAAAGAAAAAGGTGTTAGGAAGGATTGACTGGCCACTGGTGCCTAGATCCTCAGAAGTGTACAAATTCTAGTAATAGTTTAATGGACATATGCTATCAAAGACATGTACTCTAAAGCAATGACCTTTTGGCACTTTTTCCTCTATTCCCGTCCACACACACACACACACACACACACACACACACACACACACATATCAATTATATATATATATATACATATATGTATATATATATGTATATATATATAATTGATTTTTTTTAGAGAGAGGAATTGAGAAGGATAGAGAGTTAGAAACATCGATGAGAGAGAAACACTGATCAGTTGCCTCCTGCACACCTCCCACTGGGGTTGTGCCCACAACCAAGGTACGTGCCCTTGGCCGGAATTGAACCCAGGACGCTTCAGTCCGCAGGCTGACTCTCTATCCACTGAGCCAAATTGGTTTTGGCCACATCTAGGTACTTTTAAGACATTGTTTCCTAATATCTCTATTCCCTTCATGAAAATTTAATACTATAGTTAGTAATATT